CCAGCAGGTCTTCGTGGTTTCCCTGGAGAAAGAGGCCTTCCAGGTGCTCAGGTATGATATCGGCACTAGAACAATTGACATGATGTTTTTAAACACAAGAAACAATGGATTAACTCTTATTTCATGAAACCTTCTACTGTGCTTAAAAATGGATACAATAGGAGAACAGACATCAAGCATCTAACATTGTTAAATATCATTGACTATATAAGCAAAAAGTAATTCACTCAGTTTTTTGTCTTTGGATTTTTACATTCCTCCCTAGTACATGTGTTACAAAAATAACTTCTTTTTTTTTCCCCATTTTTTCAGGGTCCAGCTGGTCTGAAAGGAGGGGAAGGCCCACAGGGTCCACCTGGCCCAGTTGTAAGTAAACATTATAGTTTTATGGAAATATAAACAGTATTACATAGTAACCTTTCTTCTTCTTCTTTACATGCTGTGATGTTTTTATCAACGTAGTCTGTAAAACAGGAGACAGATGTATGTTCAATACTTATTTTCTACTGATTATCCATACTAATAAACATTCAAGGAATGTGAAGGTTGATAATATCTGAAGCCTTCTGCTATCAGCAAGTATGAGATTTACTTCTTGCTCAATACTTGCCACTTGCACAAGTTATTGTTGAGATTAAAGAAGTTTTCCATAGCGGAAAATCTATGGATAGTGGACTTATGCTGTTGTGGTGCATTGACCTTGTCTGGATGCCAGGTGCCCACCAAGTGACTCTGTCGCTCCAGCTCTTCAACTGGACAGGGGGAGAAAACATGCAGTGAAATGCTCCTGGGCTGAGATAAGGACAGGGAGATCACTCCGTAATTACCATTACAGGCAAAACAGACCAATCAAATCAGAGTGAAATAATGGGAAATAAAAACCAAATCTTAAAACACCTTCCCCCCATCCCTCTGTTCTTCCCAGGCTCAACTTCACTCCCATGTTCTCTACCTCCACCCCCTAAGTGTCACAGGGGGACAGGGAATGGAGGTTGTGGTCAACTCCTTGTACATTGTCTCTGCAGCTCCTTTCTCATCACACTTCTCCTGCTCCAGGATGGGGTCCCACTCTTGGGAGACAGTCCTCCACGAACTTTTCCAACATTGTTACTTCCCATAGACTGCAGTTCTTCACAGACTGCTCCAGCACAGATCCTTTCCACGGGGTACAGTCATTCAGGAACAGCCTGCTCCTGTGTGGGTCACAGATCCTGCCAGAAAACCTTCTCCAAAGTGAGCTCTTTGGCATGGGGTCACAGGTCTTTCCAGGAGCCTGCTCCAGTGTGCATTCTCTATAGGGTCACAGCCTTCTTCAGGTGCATCCAACTGCTCCAGCATAGGGTCCTCCATGGGCTGCAGAGGGACAGCCTGCTTTACCATGGTCTTCACCACAGGTTGCAGGTACATCTCTGCTCCAGCTCCTGGAGCACCTCCTCCCCCTTCATCTTCATTGACCTTGGTGTCTGGAGAGTTTTTCTCTCACATAGTCTCACTCCTCTCTTCCAACTGCTGTTGCACAGCATTTTATCCCCCTTCTTAAATACACTTTCACAAAGGTGCTACCACTATCACTGATTAGCTCAGCTTTGGCCAGTGGCAGGTCCATCTTGGCTGGCATTTTCTTTGTTGGACATAGAGAAAGCTTCTGGCATCTTCTCATGGAAGCCACCCCTGCAGCCCCCTCCACTACCAAACCCTTGCTACACAAACCCAATACAACTGTGTTCCCTTTGGCAGTTCAATCATACAGTTGACTCACATAATGTTAAAAATACTGCTGATGTTCTGCATAGCCTAAGCTGGCTTTTAAATATGTGGCATCACTACTTTTGTGCCTCTATTACTGCATCTACTGTTTTGAACCGTACAATGGCCTATGTGTAAGCTTCGATTAATTTTAACTCATTGTAAAACGGATTTTTTTTTAGATTGGGATAGCAGAATGTTTCATACATGAAAAATAAAACTGATAAATATTTTACTCATCTTCAGTAATTCCTGTAATGTCACGTAGCCTGTTTCTTTCCACCACTATTTTACATTTTTTTAATTTACTTGCTATCTTAAAAAAAAGGAAAGTTTGAGAACAGTCCTCTCAATCTGTTGAGATTATTCAGTCAGAGTTTGGAGACCTCAACACACTTACAGAAGGGAACACATCTTAATCTTGTTTTGAAGTGCTTTGAAATTGGTGCAGAGATTAATATAGCAGCAGGCATACTATACCATTATTTTTGCCACAGTATCTACATTGAAAAAATATTTTTCAATGAAAGTTCAGATTCTGTAGGAAAATGAAAAAATTGTAGGGCAAGCTTAAGAACTTTGAGAAAGTATGATAAGCATTGTAAAAAATAATCTTATTTTGGAAAAATAGTAACATGCAACTTGAAATCTCCCATTGAAATCCATGGGGAAAAAAGATCATGCAAGACTCTAAGAATGGCTTATTAACAATACCATTTTATTAATATATAAAGGAATATGGCATGTGTGATTTACAGTTCTTCTTAACACCATGCAGTACATGTAAATTCCCAAAAGGCACCAAAACAAGGTAGCTGGGAATGGAATGGAATGGAATGGAATGGAATGGAATGGAATGGAATGGAATG